CACACACACACACACACACACACACACACACACACACACACACACACACAGGGAGGGAGACAGAGAGAGAGAGACAAAGACAGAGACACAGACAGAGAGACAGAAAGACAGAGAGAGACAGAGAGACAGAGTTAGAAAGAGAGAAAGAGAGAGAGAGAGAGAGAAAGACAGAGAAACAGAGAGACAGAGAGAGAGTTAGAAAGCGAGAAAGAAAAAGAGAGAGAGAAAGACAGAGAGACAGAGAGAGGGAGAGAGACAGAGAGAGACAAAGACAGAGAGACAGAAAGTTAGAAAGAGAGAAAGAGAGAGAGACAGAGAGAGGGGGACAAAGACAGAGAGACAGAGAGAGAGTTAAAAAGAGAGAAAGACAGAGAGACAGAGACAAAGACAGAGAGAGAGAGACAAAGACAGAGAGACAGAGACAAAGACAGAGAGACAGAGAGTTAGAAAGAGAGAAAGAAAGAGAGACAGAGACACAGAGAGAGAGACAAAGACAGAGAGAGAGAGACAAAGACAGAGAGAGAGAGACAAAGACAAAGAGACACACAAAGAGAGAGAGTTAGAAAGAGAGAAAGAAAGACAGACACTGAGAGAGAGAGAGAGACAAGGACAGAGAGACAGGGAGACAGAGAGACAGGGAGACAGAGAGACAGGGAGACAGAGAGACAGAGACAGAGACAGAGAGAGGGAGAGAGGGAGAAAGAGACAAAGACAGAGAGACAGTTAGAGAGAAAGAAAGAGAGAGAGAGACAGAGAGACAGAGGGACAAAGACAGAGAGACAGAGAAAGAGTTAGAAAGAGAGAAAGAAAAAGAAAGAGAGACAAAGACAGAGAGACAGAGAGAGATAGAGACAAAGAGAGAGGGAGAGAGAGAGAGAGAGAGACAAAGACAGAGACAAAGAGTTAGAGAGAAAGAAAGAGAGACAGAGAATTAGAAAAAGAGAGAGAGACAGATAAACAGAGAGAGAGGGGGGAGACAGACAGAGAGAGAGGCAAAGACAGAGACACACAGAGAGAGAGAGAGAGAGACAGACAGAGATAAAGACAGAAACAGAGAGTTGGAAAGAAAGAGAGAGAGAGAGACAGAGAGAGAGACAAAGACACAGAGAGACACACACACACAGAGAGAGTTAGAAAGAGAGAAAGAAAGACAGAGAGAGAGAGACAAGGACAGAGAGAGACACAGAGACAGAGACAGAGACAGAGACATAGAGACAGAGACATAGAGACAGAGAGGGAGACAGACAGAAAGAGACAAAGACAGAGAGACAGAGAGAAAGAGAGAGTCAGGGATAGAGAGAAAGAAAGAAAGAAAGAGACAGAGAGAGAGAGAGAGGGAGAGAGAGAGAAAGCGAGAGAGAAAAAGAGACAGAGAGAAATCAGAGACATCAGAAGCTGGAAATCATGCAAAATAACTGCAGTGAAATGTGGTCATCCTGGCCAAATAAATTGCNTTAAAGCATCCTGCAACTTGGCCAAGGGGGGCTGCCACCCCCTACACAAGGCTATAGGAATACTCCATAGATAAGGGAGACAGAGCCAGGAGCTTGAACAAAAGAATGCTTTAAAGATCAGGTTGCTAACGAATCTTGGTCTCTGATTGGATAAACTTTCTTTCTGTCGGCGTAAAATGCATCTAACACTCTGAGCCCCTCTTGCAGGGGGCGGCTATTCCTAACATGCATTTGTTAGTGTTTTTTGGATATAGTTTGGCCACCCAGCTTTTGCTACGGCCATCAATAAAAGCTGGTGTTTTTTTGCGAGCCTCGTCTGGAGTCTCCACTCTCTTGGGCATCTCGGTGGCTCCGGGAAACGGCTGGAACCTTACAATAGATAAGAGGTGTGAGAGAAAGCTACAGCTGAGCTATGCTGGAAAATGCTGGGCACCTGCATCAAAAGACGCTCGCTCGAAGGAAGCTAGTGATTTTTACGAGGCCGGGATATCTCTGTCGGCTGAGGAATGCAGCCTCGTAGGCAGCGGGGCGAGCCCGAACGTGGCACAACCTTGTGCAACCGCCTGGCTCCCGGTGCTTGTGCCACCGCTGTTGGGTTGAAACTGCCCCTGGGAACTCTTGCAAAACCAGGCTCTGGAAGCAGCGGGGCTTGGGCCCCACACCTCAGCAGTAACCCCCCCCCCTCCCCAGGAAGATCTGTTCATTTGTTTCTGAGCTGGGAAAATCTGGGCAGCGAAATGTGGAGCTGCTCGTCTTTCTGGATAGAATTGCAGAATACTGAAGAATGGGGGGGAGGGACCTTGGAGGTCTTCTAGTCCAACCCGCCGCTCAAGGCAGGAGACCCTGTGCTGTTCCGGACAAAGGGTTGTGCAGTCTGTCTCTTGAAAACCTCCAGTGATGGAGACACACAACAGTCACACTTGGCCAATAAAGAATTCTGTTCCGTTCTGTTCTATGGCTTCAGAAGTGGTGGGAGCTTCATCCCTGGAGGCTTTCAAGAAGAGACTGGGATGCCATCTGTCAGAAACGGTGGAGGGTCTCCTGCTTGGGTGGGGTGTTGGACTAGATGACCTCCAAGGTCCCTTCCAACTCTGTTAATCTGAAAAATGTTCTGTTCTGTTGTATTCTATTCTATTCTCTATTATTTTCTATTCCATTCTACTCCATTCCATTCCATTCCATCTTTTCTTTTCTTTTCTTCTTTTCTTTTCTATTCTACCCTACTCTGCTCTACTGTACTATCCCATCCCATCCGATCCCATCCGATCCCATCTCATCCGATCCCACCCAATCAAATCTCATCCTATCTCATCTCATCCTATTCTAAATCCTATCCCATTCTATTCCATATTTCTATTCTATTCTATTCTATTCTAGTTCTGTTCTGCTCTGCTGTACTATCCCATCTCACCCTATTCTAAATCCTATCCTATTCCATTTCATTTCATAATTACTATTCTATTCTATTCTAGTCTAGTCTATCCTACTCTACTCTACTCTCCCATCACATTACATCCTTTCCTAACTTCTATTCTATCCTATCCTATCCTATTCCATTTCATTTCATAATTACTATTCTATTCTATTCT